TCTTCTCGTTGTGCAGCGTCTTCTGCCACACTTTTTCCTTCCCACAGACTTCCCACTGAGGTGCCTTGATACAGCACTCTGGGAACAGCAATTTCTTTCTGTGTCTTACTCTTGAGGGTGTCAGTGATGGCCTTCTGGACAGCAGTCAGTCTTAGCCATGATTGCAGTTTTGAGTAATGAACCAGGCTGGGAGTTTTTAAAGGCCTCAGAAATCTTTTGCAGGTGTTTAGAGTTCGTTGATTCAGATGGTTAGGTTAATAGCTCGTTTAGAGAAGCTTTTCATGAGATGCTCATTTTTTGAGATAAGAATTTTGGGTTTTCATGAGCTGTATGCCAGAATCATCAATATTAAAACAATGAAAGGCTTGAACTACTTCAGGTGTGTGTAATGGATCTAAAATATATGAAAGTCTAATGTTTATCAGTACATTACAGGAAATAATGAACTTTATCACAATATGCTAGTTTGTTGAGAAGGACGTGTATGCGTAAATAACTTTATCCTTTTTATATGAAGCTGTTTTAAAGGATGGATTTGCTCTCTTACTGCCTCTGAGTCGGCTGCTGTGAGCGTCGGGCAGCTTGATGTTCACTTCATAGAGCTTACAGTCACGCTCTTATCTTTGCTGTAACAGGCGATAACAAAGCAGCTCGTTTCACCCATGCAGTCACTGCTTTGCTGCTCTGACATGAAGCTGCATTTAAAAGCCTGAGCAAAAAATGAACTGTAAGCAGAACAAACACGGCAGCAGCCGCTCTGTGTGAAAGCGTCATGCTTCTGTTAATGTTCATAATTTGGTGCTGCAAAGCGTCACCTCCTCATTAACAGCTCTGAGTAACACGTGGAGACTGGTGTGCAGGGTTTTTAAAAGCATCCAAAAAGAGAGCACAGACACTCTCACACAAAAGTACATTTCTGAATGTGTTTTCCCACACACGTCAGTCATTAATGAGCAAAAACGATATTATGATGTATTTGTAAGGAACAAAGTCATTTAAAAGTATTTGTTGACGTCTGTTTCATTCATTAGAGACAAAGAGGCAGAAAGATTTAAACGTTTGGTGAAGGCAGAAGATGTTTGATCAGATCTGTGATTATTACACAGAAGAGTCAGCTGTTGCTTTGTTCTTTAAATTGGTTTTTAAAAATATGCATGATGCTCAAAGATAACGTTGGTTCTTCACATGTGAAGGATTTAAATGGATCCTTGTGGAGATGTCAACCAGCCCTTTCACAGATTTGTTCCTTATAAATGTGCAGTTTGAGTTGGAATGAAACGAATGTGAATTCAAACTTAGTGATAATAAATGTTTATATGATATCTGTCTGTATGCGGTGTTATCCATCGTATCAGTGCGTGATGGAATACGGAGCGCGACGCAGGAAAATGCTGGGATGGTTGGGATGATGTGGCTCCCAGCACCGTCTGCAGCGTCACAGCGTTGTTGAAATTACAGCGAGGGCTTCGTTCGTGTCCTCGTGTGTAACTTGCTGTCATCCAATCAGACGCGTAGCTGCCTGCTGCTGAGCGTCGGAGCTTAAATCTGGATCCCATCTCAAAGTCACATTTAGAGTCAACAGCACAGCTACCAGTGAAACAACTGTTACACATAATCTGCACATTTGTCTGTCACGCTGCCTGTGTTGTGTGTGTCTGCGTGGATTTGCAGCCCAGTGATGGAGGTGCCCACAGACAGTCCTTTATCAGAAGAGCAAGCTCGCTTATACTTCAGAGACGTCATCCTGGGTATCGAATACTGTAAGTACCACGCACCCTCACAAAGTGACTAAAAGATTCAAAGCAGTCATTTTAGCGCCGTGTGAGATTGGCGACCTGTCCAGCTCTGCCTCTCGCCCTGTCGCAGCAGCCCCTCTCCATCTTTGAGCCTCCGTCACTATCCAGCTTCTATTAAACGATACAGCTTTGCCCGTGCCCGTAATTTCAGCAGGCGATGATCTTAATCGTTTAGGAGCAGTGCCGTGTCATCCTGAGCTCCATGGTGGTAACAATGGGACAAAATGGAAAAGTACAGTGACCAGTAAAGCCCAGTCACCCAGTGCTAATGAAGCAGGTTCCTCTGATCACACAGCTGTTTGCTAAGCATTAGGGTTTGTTCCCACTTTAAGTAATGATGGATTTCAAAAGTCCAAATTGTTCCAATTACAGATCAGTTCAACCTGCTTCTGCTGATTATTTCCATTTTTTAAACCTTATAATTAAAACCTGTGTTTGAAAGGAAAAGCTCTTCCCGTCACCATGTTCAGCTGACAGTTATAATTACTCGTTAGTGTTCATGTTGACATTTAATTACAAGTAATATTGAAACATTGTTTCAGTACCTAAAATACCTAATGGTTGTTTTTTTGCAAATCCTGAGGTGGAACTTTGGAAACTGATGAAACAATAATTATGAGCTCATATGTAACACTTTGTTCTGTTGTGTGTCAGTGTCTGTTTCTCTCTTTATGTCTACAATGTAACGTAGCATTTCTTCTACATGATCCCAGCTGTATTTTAGTGTGTTCACGGTTGGCAACAAGTAACATTAAAAGAAGTCAAACGGAGCGAAATTCATTGGAACCAGCTGCTGTGGTGAAATCGTTCACCAAACAATATTTGTTCAAATGCAATATTTACAATTTGTGCTCATGTTTGTTTGTTTGTTTGTTTGTTTGTTTGTTGTTATTTTTGTTTGCTTTACATTGCATCCACCATAGCAGGCGTTTACACCGCCATCCAACCAGTGAAAGGTCACTGGTTCCTCTTTGAGCTTGAGCCACGTAATATAATATTAACCTTTATAATGCAACGCTTTGTTAAAGATTGAAATAATTCCCAACAATTTTGGCTTGTTCTCGAATTTGGGAACCTCCCATTTGCTGAGAGTATTTATTTTCCTCCAGTTTGAACACCAATCAGGACGCAGGCTGAAGAAGCGCAGCTCTGCCCTCATAATGACACAATCACCACAGTCTGGGCTTTGTTCTTCCCCATGAAGACGACATTTCACCACCTGCCCTCTGCCCTAATGACATGTTCTCAAACCTCGGTGTATACGAGTAAAGATGCGACCTGAGGATCCTCAGGCTGCGCTCCGGCTTCTGCGTTTTTCCAAGGATAGTTCCAGTTTGTGTTTAGAAGCTGGAAATATTCCAGAAAACAGAAATAAGCTTCCACGTGTCCAAAGGGGAAACTTGCGCTCTCTTCTTTGTGTTTTCTTTTCTTATCCCAGTGCACTACCAGAAGATTGTCCACCGCGACATCAAACCCTCTAACTTGTTACTCGGGGACGATGGCCATGTGAAGATAGCAGACTTTGGAGTCAGCAACCAGTTTGAGGGCAACGACGCTTTGCTGTCCAGCACTGCTGGCACTCCGGCTTTCATGGCACCAGAGACGCTGTCAGATGCGCGAAAGAGCTTCAGTGGAAAAGTGAGTGAACTCGATGAACATGAAGAGAGTTTAAAGTGTAGTGTTTGATGTGACCCAAACTGAAAACGCTGAACCAGAGCCTCCAACTCCCAATGACAGCTGCTGAGCTACGACCAGTTTCTGGCGTTTAGCCGGCCCAAGAACAAGGAAGTGATCGACACCGAGATAACGACAGTGGTCTTGTGTTCAGTTTCCATCGAATGAATCAGAAATGTTTCACCTTGTTATTTCCACAGTTAGACGATGAGCAGTTCTGTCTATAGCAGATAAGCTTCCATCTTTTTTATCGTGATGAGGCTGAATATAACGCACAGCCGCTGATTGGACAAACCACACACTGTATATCAGCACAAAGGCCTCACGCCAACCTGAGGACCTGACACTTGTTGGTGATCCCACGCACAGCAGCAGCAAATCAAACAGAGTCCAGAGTCCAGACCTGAACCCGGCTGAGGTGGTGCGGCGGGATCTAAGAAACTGATGAAGCCAAACAGAAAGCTCAACATTTGTTTTGGTTTAATGACATTGTGTGTTTTTTATTATGTCCTCATACGTGAAACCTTAAAATTGTAGAGGGTGGACACTTTATGAGACATTGCCAGTCCTTTAGAGATTTGTATAATAGTCCTTTGATGGTCCTGACTGTTGCCGTAGTCCTTATTTCGGTGAAATAAGCCGATTGTTTTTAACGTAACTAGCAGGTGGATGTGAGCGTCCACACGCTGGAGCTGCTGCAGGGAGGGGTTAAGACATCAACATCACCAAATCGTCCCTTTTCTCCCCTCAACCCTCCATCACAGACTTTGTCAGGTTATATTCTGCGGTTGTCTGAAAGGACAGACTGGTGGATTCGCTCAGACGCTGACCATGAACAAGGGGCCGGAGCAGCTGATTACAGACAGAAGCCATCAGGGTGTAAGAGTCACCGGAGTGCCTCCGTCTGCTGTTTGGGGGTTTAGAGCATTTTAAGAGATGCACTTCTAGTTTCTGCCTGATGACTCGGCCTCTGTAAAGATGTGATTTGACCAAACTGTGCAAATCAGCAGACAGGATGCTTCATGTCACGTCTGCAGCAGTGTGGCTGAGATATTGCACAGGTTCAGAGGGCTGCTTTAATCATCCCGTATCTATCAGGGATCACAAACAGATCCGAGCTACAGGGAGCGAGGGGTGGGGGGCACATGTGCCGCTGCTATGTCATCACATAAATTCATCTTCAGGGTATCTGACAGTAGCTGCCCCCAAACAATAACCTTAAAACGACTCTTGTCCTCTACATGTTTCCCATTTATCTGAATATAATGTCACTGCTGGAACTGTCTTACAGGCGCTGGATGTTTGGGCCATGGGGGTTACCCTCTACTGCTTCGTCTTTGGAAAGGTAAATGTGACGTCTGCCCCACAAGTCTTCGTTTAAAAGCATAGAAGAATGTGTCCATTTCACATTTCTGCTACTAGTTAACAGCACCTAGTGGGTGTTGAGTGGGAGCGCTGTCTGCCACAGTGTGTGTTTGAAACAGCAGCTTTCTCGTGCTGTCGTTGAATGTAATGAATCCAAGCGGCCGATTGCTGCTGTTGTTCGTCTCGGTCGTCTTTTCTGATATTGGCCCGGTGCAGCAGTCATCGTGCATGTGTGTTCTTGTGGTTTTCACCTCCTTTCTTCTGCTCTTCCTGCAGTGTCCCTTCATTGACGAGTACATACTGGCGTTGCATAATAAGATAAGGACCAAGCCTGTAGAATTCCCAGAAACGTAAGTTTCCACTTTATTGAAATGGACGGTCATCATCTTCACTTTAGTTATCCTTCGTCTGCAACGCGGTCACGAAAACGTCTTCTTCTGTTCTTTTTCCCCAAAAAGCTTGGCAGGATGAACGTCACCAACATGTGAATCAAAACGAGCTGAAAAAGCAAACGGAGGCTTCAGCAGCTACATGAATACAAGGTCAAAGAAAAGCTGGCAGGCCTGCTCACTGTAGGGGAATATCATAGAGCGAATAAAAGACAGATGTTAGGCAGTGGTGGAGGAGGACACGCTGAGAAGGGAGAAGAAGTGAGGAGGTGTGAGGACAGGGCTCAGTGTTGGTGTTGGACTGTGCCTTCCAACAGCCGCGTTCATTAAATCCACACATATCTGTTCTAGTGCAACAGAATGTAGCAGATTATTGCTAGCTAAAGCTACGTAGTATCGTGCGTACCTTCCTTTTTAAAATTTGTGTGTGTCATAAACGGTGGAGCATGCACGTCACGCACCGCGGCCTCCATCTCTTTTTTAAGCATCTGTGGCATAAAGACAATAAAATGCAATTAGTGAAAAAGTCTCATCATTTATTCATCTGAACACTTGAGTACATATTTTTGGCTAACTGCTTCTAGCATTAATCCAAGCTGACTGTATATTTTAACAGTTTAGCCCTTTTGGCTAGCTAGTGCACCAGCTGCTGCTTGTGTCGGCTGGTTACTTCTAGCTGCTAATTTATTTTTAACTAAATGTGGTATTTTTGTGTTGTGGCTGATCAAATATAAATATAATTATGTCTGTTTGTCTATATGACATTACTGGCATGCAGTAAGCCTCCCTTTCAGTTACAGTCACCCCCTCAAACAACAGCCAAAGCTGCCTGAAGGAAAAAGTCTTCATACAAATACAGACCATTTACTGTTTTCAGGGCTGCTTATAAATTTCTTTCACTTAATAGAAAAGCCTTTTTTTTTTTTCTTTCTAAGAGCGGTTTGGAATATGTGGGAGGAGTTAAGTGAGCATTTCTTACAAAGAGCAGAAATGACGGCTCTGTTACACAAAGGGGCCAAAATGTTTCTGCTGGCTTCACTTTGTCCAACATGTGACGACCTGTTGGCAGTTTAATGCCGAGCCTGTGTTTAAACTTCATGTGACCAAATCTTCCAGCGGTGAATAAAAGTTTTGATTCGTTTTTGGGGACGTTTTTTCCCACAGCGAGTCCAAGAAATGAGTAAATGATCTTTTGCATGTTAACAAACACGGCTTGATACAGCAGACAGCAGAAAAGCCATAATTTCATGCTGTTCCTGTTGAGTGTGTCTCATGTTAAATACAATCATTCGATTTCCTCCTCAGGTAAACGTGATGGAAACGTGTGGGTCAAACTTTTCCCAAATCGTCATTTTGTTTTTTCTTCAGGCCCAAAATCAGTGAAGAGCTGCAGAAGCTGATCTTGCAGATGTTGGATAAGAACCCCGACAGCAGGATCAGCATCCCAGAGATCAAGGTACCAGACTGATGGATGATAAGAAAACCAGCTCAGATTACTGTCCTTCAGCTTTAGCACCTTCTTCATACTTATAAAGCATCGCTGTGATTTTCTCACTGCTGATTAACACATGAGATTGTGACCTCGCTGTGTTCCTACAGAGTAGTTCTTAGACAAACTGAGTGTGTATTAGTGCCGTGGATGGTCCACAATCATGGCCCGATCACATTCCCACACCCCACTGTGTCTCCATCACACAATCTAGTCATGAGTCATGTGACTCTTTTTCTGTGTGTTCGTGGAGATATGGAGGCTCTCGGGCGTCGTGCACGTCCTCGTGCACAAACACACAATGACTCAAAAACCAAAAAAAGCATTTTTATTGTGACCTTGCACACAGCGTTGGCTCACCTCGTATTTTAAAAAGAAGAGGCTTGAATATTTCCTGTTAATGCAGCTGTTACAGTCGCATGTGTCGTGTGAAATTTGCATTCCCTCGGAAAGTCTGATAAATCTGGGACAACCTGGCATGTGCATCTGCCTGCAGAGCTGTCAGCTGTGAGCCTTCAGCAGAGTCAAAGGAGCTCTGAGTGCAAACAAAGCAGGCCATCCTTGGGCTGCTGGAATCAACTGACAATCGGAGACAAACATGCAGTGAGCTCAGCTGCAGAACGGTGTAGTAAACGAAGTGCCGTCATATCCAGTCAAAGGCTGATTCAACAGTATCTAATTACAAAGGCTGTAATCAGCCTGAAGAAAAGAGGCTTAAATATACAAATACACAGGCGTGACACGGGTATCTGTGAAGCACAGCAGAGGCATCACATTGGGTCACTAATGTTTGCTAATGTTTGACAGAAACACATTTAATCAGCTTATATTTATATTCAACTTTTGTAACTGTCTAAATGTTTGGCACACAGTTGGAGAACTTTGCTTTCTTGCACTTCCAACATGGAAAAAGGGAAATGCAGAGCAAATCCATCCCGCCCTCTCTGCAGCCCACAGAGGGTCTCGTTGCGTGAAGTGGAAAATGCGCAGCAGTGATTGGTCAGTGAATGTCACTTAGGTCACACTGATACCTCGAATCACCTACGACGTCTTACCATGTTGGTTCTTGCAGAGTAACACTTGTAATCAGTACTGAGGACTGTAATCTGAGGACCGCCCAGCCTGAAACAAACCTTCCTGTAAACGTAGGAAAGCTCGCGTTTGCCATTAAATCATTGCTTGGACACAAGCTGGTAAACTGACTGTATTTACTGCTGTGCGTTTCTGTGAACCTCTGGGTGTCAAGTCATGAAAGTGCCCTATTTCACTGCGGTCCATGCCCTTTCAGATGGACCCGTGGGTGACCCAGGGAGGTGCTGACCCCCTGCCTCTGGAGGAGGACCACTGCTCTGTGGTAGAGGTGACAGAGGAGGACATCCAGAACTCCGTCAAATTCGTTCCCAGCCTCTCTGCAGTGGTAAGAAACACAGAGTGTCCTCCGTTTATCAAACTGCTGCGTGCAGCAGCACTCAGACTAGCTGCTCTTAACAACCACAGCCTTCTGTCTGTTAACCAAAGATGTGACAAAGCGCAGCCAGACAGAGGGGCGGGGTTTCATCACTGTTCAACCATAAAAGAGCCAAATGAATGCATTTGAATGTCTCCATTATGTGTCTCCTTAAATGCACTAATGTTGCATTCATTTGAAAGCAAGCTCGCAAAATAAGCTGTGCAATCACTGCAGACCCTCAGCCTGGGCTTCTGTTAACTGTTGGACATTATTAGTCTAACGAAATGAATTGAATTAGGGAAGCTGAGGACGGTATACTGCACACCAAGACCAGAGTCAACACAGAATAAGTGAGAAGTTTTCCAGTTTAAAAAAAGCTCATTACAGCAGCAGGTTACGTTATATGTATACAGTTACAGCAGTAACACAAAGTCCTCTATGAGCAAGCATAAAAAAACTCCCTGTTAACAGGAAGAAGAGGCAAGACGAGACACGCTGGGCAGGAGAGCCAGAGATTAACAACGAATGATTAAATGCAGAGAGTGAAGACGAAACACTCAGTGCATCATGGGAAACCCCAGCAGATTAGGCCTGTTGAAGAATGAAGATCACCTGATACGTCGCCACAACATTAGTAACAATATTAGAGGAACATTGTAACCACTTGTCTGCTCCACATGTTGAGAACAGTGTTTCCCCCTGCATGTCTGTAACAGTACGGCGCCCCCTCTCATGTAACTCGTGTTCGTCCCGTGTTTGTCTGTTTCAGATCTTGGTAAAGGCCATGCTGAGAAAGCGCTCCTTCAGTAACCCCTTTGAGTGCCCAAGCCGGCGGGAGGAGAGGTCCATGTCTGCACCTGGTAGTCTGCTCATGTAAGAGTTCAGCTTCCTGATTGTCTGCAGCTCAGTACTTGCTTATCTTGTCTTTGAAGACGATCTTTTTGCTTGAGATTCTAACGTAGATCTTTTCTCCACACCTGTCTCCTTCTTCTTCAGGTTGAATAGCGCTCATTTTTTGCAGCAGCAGCTGCTGCTTCCTTGTGTTGCCATAGCATCATAATTCACTCTTTCATTGTATGCAGTGGAGCTTACAGCTTGTATAAGTGTTTCTTTGTGTGTTGCTTTTAGCTCTCAAGACTAGAAGGACTCAGCGTGACGCAGAATGAGCTAGTGCCTCAGGCTGAGCTTGATTTGTCAGTAACGTGGATTCAAAGTATCACAGGTGTCAGTGGCCAATCGGCTCGTCCCGTCCCCGCTGTGCATTTTCAACTTGTATAGCCGAAAACAAACAGGCGCACGCACAGCTGTTAGCAGGTGTGTCGTGGGCACCGTGGGACTGTCTTCTGATGATGAACATGCTGCTGCTCGTGGACCGTTACACGCTCGGCCGTCAGAGGTGGAGGTGTTTTCACAGCATATGGATGTTTGAATAATACTGCCCCCTGCTGCACAGTGGAAATCCAACTGTATGGCTATCATAGAGTAATGAATACAATTCTGAGTGAGTACAATATGTTTATGTAAAGATGTCAGATATTATTTTATAAACATATGGACACATAACCAAAAACCACTGGAAAGCTCTGAGAGCCTTGATTTCCTCCACGTCCAAGTCCAAGTGGAGCAGAGCTGGTGGGATATTTTTCTCCTTTGATGAGGGGAAGCGAATGAATGCTAACGGCTAATGTGACTGACAGATGCTACCAGTGCCAGACGCTTTTTTTCACCAGGATTTGTGGGGGAAAGATGACGTAGCCGCTATTATATGTTGTCCTATTTTGATGAAACATCACAGGTGGCAGCTTCTTGTGTCCATGGTGACTGTATCCAGGGAAGCTCTGCTGACTCGGCAAAGATTTGAGTTTCTCGCTAAACTACAGTTTCTCAGGCTGGAATTCAACTAGAAAATTTCCGGCCTGCATGTTTGCAATTGAATGCACCATTAACACCAGTGTTCCCATGCAGCCCACCAAAGTATATTTGGAGACAAATTTCCCCCTTTCTTTCATCCAGAAAAAAAAGAAGTTCATCAACAGCCAGTTTGAGTGGAAAGTCCCGTCGCTTTATTTTGAAAGTTCTGCTGCAGCTAAACCCAGCTTTTTGTGGCTCGTGCTTGTCTATCAGGGTCATTGTACTGACAGTTGTCAGTATCATTGAGCTGCAGCTGCAGACAAAAGTCCTTTTGCTCTGGTTATCGGCGCATCCTGAGTCAGAGTGCGGTTTTCAGATTCAGCCACAGGGAGGCCTTTAAAAATGTGTTATTTACTTTGCAATGCTACGATACAAATGAAACTCTGAGGTGTGTGATCATTTTTGAAAGATGCTAAAAGTGCAGCTGGACCCTACGTGGTGGGGAGGCGGGTTTCCTCCCACGGGCCTGCGTTCCTTTGTCCTCTCATATGTGACTTGTCCATCTTCTCTCCCACTTTGCTGCAGGGACTCGTGGCCCTTCCGGCCCTCTTTTAAACTTCAGCCCTCACTCAGGTAACACTTCGTGCGAAGCAGTCCGGCCTCTGTCTGTCCCACATCCTCCAGCCGCTGCTCCATCATCATTTTCGATCCTTAAACTCGTGCTTGTCCACATCACGAGATGTGATGGCAGAGCAGCCTTCCCCTGCTGTCGTGTCCCTGCTGCTGTCATTTAAAAGCCATCCTACGTCCATAAAGCCTTCTGTGTGTTTTTGATATTCATCATGCATCAACAACATCCAGACCTTCTCTAATTAGCAGGCTTGGTAGTGTCAGCATTTAGATAATTCCCTCTCTGCTGCTGTCCAACCTCGAATGATCATAAGAGCTGTGACCCATGTTTGTGGTTTTTCTTGTCTCTTTTTAGAAAGGCCAGCACGGGCGATGGACCCAGAGAAGGAGAGCTGGAGGACCTGCATGAAGATGAGCCCTCCTCTTGAGTCCTCCTGCGTGCGCAGCGTCCTCTTTGAATCCACTTACGCCTTCATTCACACCTCAAAGTGGTCCCACAGTGCAAACGTATCACAAAAACTCGAGTTTTTTTGTTTTCTTTTTTGGGGAGAAGTTTGTCATGTGACGTACACGCTTGCTTCTGCGCTGTGGAGCTGTTTTATCCTCAGCCGATGTGAGGAACACGAGCACGTCTGTGGATCATCACCGGTTTATTTTGCTGGCCTGAAACTGTATTACAGGCAAAGACAGACGAGTTTTTCCCATTGTGCATGGCGAATATTTAGACCGCATCTTCAGCCCGTCTGCAGCCACCTGACAGGAGGAAACAGACCTCAGCATGTAAAGGACACTGCACTGTCTCCTAAGTGAACTACGAGGCTTTCATTTCATCAGTCACTGTAATGTTGTACATACGTGTCTTGTGGTATCTGCTGTGTTATTGTGAAGACCCTTTAAGCATATCTGTGCCAACCTTTATTCTGAAGCAGGTGCTTCCTGCGCTGCCTTCAGACACCTCGATCGACTGCCTGGCAGTGATCGCAGGGTGACTGCGAGCTGTGTGTTAGTCTGTCCTTCACGCTGCTTCTCCTAATGCGTCGTCTGTGTCAGTCTGGTGGTTCTTGTTTCTTTGATGCTCTGCTGTTGGATGTGTTTGCGATCGGATGGGAAAAGTTTTTGGATGGTGAGAACGAACGTAGTGGAAAACTGATGTTACTCTGTATATAAGCACTGTTCCAATTTATACGTTATTTATAATATTAATATATTGTAAAGTTCTTGGATGCAGAGCTGATTTTAAAGCATAAATAATCTGCATACAAATGAATCACTGAGTGCTTTGTAGAAGAAATCGAATCACGTTGTTCGTTATTATATTAAGGAGAAGCGTCTGTACCCAAATCATTTGAATGTGAAATGATGCATGCACCTTTACTCTCAGGAAACACTGACCTGCTCTCTTTTTAAACAGTCTGTCACCTGTGTTGAAGCGCATTCACAGAAGAGGAAAATAAGGAAACTGCTTCAGAGACAATCATCAAGGATCAGATACATTAGTGATCGTTTCCCCTTCAGCTCTAGTGGACCATGCAGAGCTGTCGCTGCGGCATCAGGCTGCTCCCACATAAAGCCATGAAGGAGCAGAAAATTCATCCAGAAGAGCTTCAGGCGGACTCTGGACAAAGAGCAGCAGACGGAGGAGGTGCTGGAGCAGGGCTGGTGTTTGTCCATCCGCAGCTGATGGTGTCGTGTTTTTGACTTCATGTTTTCATTTTGTTGTTGCTCTTGTTAATTTGAAGTTTTGGTGAGCTTTTAGAAAAGGACCGTGTGTTTGTGTTGGCACAACGCGTCAGTGCAGCCGCAAACTTCTCATTATAATAAATGGGAACACAGATAATGCACGCGCTGGCCACCGCAACATCACTGTTTCCTGTAAACGTTGACATCTGCTTACACAGTGAGGAGGAAGAAAAATATAAAGCATGGCTGTCCGTGAACACGGAGTTGTGTTCTCGTGATTTTCCATTTGATAACCTGTCAAAGTGCCAACAGTAGATGCTGACGATGGCCAGTGAATCAGCTGTGCACATGTGAACCCTCTACAAATGTGGGCGTGGTGGATAAAAGAAAGAGAGGCGTGTCCATTTAAAGGCGCTTGGTTTAACAACGGGACGTGTCCTGGTGTGTTACCCCTGTGGGGGGAGAGCTGGGGGAGCGCTCGGAGCAGCGTTGTCCTCTGGCTGGTTGATGCAGCTCGTTTCCTCCAGGGAAGGATGCTAGCTTAGGCTCGAGGCGTGCAAACGGGATTTCAGGCCGTGTTGTTGAGCCGGTGTGTTTAATGTCCGCAGGGACATGACGTCATAACTGCTGTGACGTCAGTCATAAACTTTATCATCATCCTGACGTTTTGATGTTCAGCTCTAAATGCTGCACACCTTTAATGAAGGCAACCAAAAATGTCACATGACGTCTTCTGTTTGACGTCACCTGTTTAAACGCTCGTCCTTCTGATTCTCGCGTTTTTATTCTGGGTGTTGTTGTGCTGGACGTTCGTGGGTCAAAGGTACTTTATTGTTGTCTTTACAGCTCTCGACCTTTAACCTGTGTTTTTGTTTATGTTCAAATTCTTGCACTTTTCCACTTAAGTATGTATAACGTCATTATTGTGAGTACGTTTAACACTACTTCGGCCATTAAACACTGTACAGTTTGTGTGTCCACCTGTGAAACACCGTATGTGCTTGTTGTCTAATCTCACTGCTGACAACATGCAAAATAGTGAAATACTGTGAAACTGTACGGAGGGGGCAGGTGTGCGCTCAGGACATTCTCACTGATCACTAAATGTCACAACAACAATATTTAAACCGTGGGATTTTCCTCTGTGGCCATTTCACGGTGGAAACCCTGAACTCCAGCATAGATTAATCCCAAAATATGTCAGTTTGTTCATACGGGTCCATTTCTCCACCAGAGGTTTCCTCCCTTTTAGATGTTTTTCATCATTCAAAACCCTTGAATGATTTAAATGGCCATAAATCAAAGATCACCTGTGCGTGACCTTTGAAACCCTGCATAATTACAGTATATCGGTTTAAACCAGGCGACCCTCCCGTGGATTGATCTGACCTGCTGCTGCTGCTGCTGCAGTGACACAGAAGTAAAGTCAGTGGGTGTGGCAGCACAGGAAGTGAGTGGCATGACTCGTTTTATTGTGATTTCAGGTCATAATTGGATCCAAAGGACGGAGACTATGGTGGAGTCTGTACATAATATGAAATCCGGGACTATGTGACTCTCCTGGTCTGTGCGCATGCGCGTGTGCCTGTCTCAAAGGCATCCGCCGTCTCGTGTCGTCTCGTGCTTTTCTCTGACTGTACCCACTAAAACGGAAGCATGGCACATCCATATGGAACGTAGTTACAATGTAAATATGTACCGATATATATAAATGCGCTATTTTTTGCATGCTTTTTGTACACATACTCGAAGAAATAAAGAAATCTGAATCATTTCAACATTTTTCTCAGGTTCTGTTCGACCAAAGCAAAAAGAAACTGCGCTGATGTTACTGTACATGTTTTTATTAAGTCAACAGCCGATCACAAGGTGCACACGAGGGACGATCACTGACAGCAGCGCACCTACATGTTTCTTTTACGGCGACTGAGGTAACAGAATTACAGACAGAGGCAACACCCAAAGCATGAAGACAAGCAAACAGTAACACCCAAGAAAGTACACACACCGCCGAGCTTGGCTGCCTCTGACTCCACATACAAGCGTCACAGATCCTCGGGATGACTAAGCTGCTGATGGGAATAACGTGACTCCATCTCGCTGTGCTCCTTTCTGTTAGTCCAGGTAGTGTCTGAAGGATCCAGGCTTCCAGTGCGTCACACCTCCAAAAGAGGCGTGGCCTTTTGGCTCGTTTGCTCCCGGGTCACTTCTGCACGAGAAACAGCAAATGAATAAAACATCAGTCATTAACACAAGTGAGACTCGTGGGAGTGATTGTTTTGGAAGGATACGACGACGCCTTACTTTAGACGCATCAGTCTCTGTGCTGCCTGCCTCTGAATCAGGATCCTGTGGGACAGGAGACATTAAGATCATGTGCAAACCACGCTGCTGCTCATCAGAATCAGAATCGTGTTTATTGGCCAAGTATATGTGCAGACACATACAGGGAATTTGGTTCCGGTAGATGGCGGCTCTCAAGCACAGCAATGTAACACACACACACACACATCTATATATACATTACACATACATACACAAGCTGTGTAAACCAACTATGAATAACGAATCTAAACTTATATACATGAAATACAGAAATGAATGAGGTGGAATGAATAGTGGGTGGGGGGCGTCTGTAGCTGGTGATTTCCTGCAGGCCCCCCCACACTGACGCAGGGTCGTTGGCTGGGAGCCGTTCTTCCAGCTTCTGGGAGTAGATGCTTTTAGCTGTCTTAAATGTGCCGCGCGATTAGGCTTAAAATAAAAGAACCTGCTCTACTGCACAGACTGCCTCCTACTCACTTTGGACCGGTCTTTGCCTTGAGCCTCTTTTGCATTTGCTTCAAGGGTGTAATAGACGTTCGTGTCTACACCAACCGACTCGCTGTCCTGCTGTAAAACAGAAGTGAAAGAGGAAAGCAGTCTGGGTGGGACGGACACAGATTTCATCTTCCATCAGATAAACTGGCTGCTCTATACTAATCACAGACTCTCTCACACGTTATGGGAATGAACACAGCAATAATCTGATGGTAAGTGAAGGTTACGGCTTCCGTGTGAAATGTATGGCTGGACGTGGTGAAGGAAAATAAGCTCCAATGACTTTCTCTGATTGGTTGAACACCTCTCTGCTGCCCTCTGCTGTTCAAAGAGAGCACAGACTCATTTTTGAAGGTCTTACCTGTACTTGTGTGTCCGTGTATTTGAATTTCATGTTCTTGTAAAATTCTCTTTTCGGTAGCAAATAGAGCAGCACCAAGTCACACACTACAGTCGCCTAAAAAGAGGAGAAAGAAACAACTGCGTCATCTCCTGTTGGATTACAACACTGTGCAAAAGTCTCGAACCACCGAATATTTTAAATCTTTGTCATTACCTACAAAGAGAACACCTCTGCAGACTCTGGACACTCACTGGAGCTACTTTTAGCTCCTCATCAGCACAGCAGGTTGCGCTGCGTGTTTGTGTGTCGCTGGCTAGAATGAAACCAGCAACCTCTCACCTGCCACACAAATGTGTAAACTACCACATTATGGAGCCTCACACACTAGCTACTCACTAGTAGGTGCAAACGACCTCTGATCTCAGCCAAGCCAAACTAACGGAGCCACTGTTAGGCTTTTACAGTGTTGGGTGGCCGATTGCTGAACCAGGTGTGCACTGGCACCTGAGGGGAAAACTGGTGGCAGCTGAGTTCAAGGAAGACAAAATAGTACGCAGATATAAAGGCCTGCTTTGTGTGCAACACCAGGAACATTGGACATGTGGTCGAACGTACAGTTTGTTTAACTGAAACAAATCTTTATTGTTCAACACAGCCTGAACTCGTTTGTTGTCATTTCTCTTCAGGAACAGTTCTCCAGACTTTTTGAAGGACGTTCAAAGCTCTTCTTTGGATGTTGGCTGTTATTTGTCCTGTTCACTGCTTCAGTAATGTTGAGATCTGACTGATTGTGTGTTTGTGTATCCAGGTATGCCTTTGCTGCATTGTGTTTGGGATCATGGGATCATTGTCACGCTGAAGCTGTCACCAATCAGAAGCTTTCCACTCTTGCTGCACCGCAGATCAAAGTCAGATTTTTGTTTTTTTCCATCAGTTTTGACACGACCTCCAACACCACGACATAACCTGCACCACATTTAACCGCGGTATGTTTGGACACAGTCCCTGGAGTTAGGTGCCTCAGTCATTCATATGTCAGTGTCCAAAGAGGCCTTCAGAAAACCTGGAGAACCACTTTAAAACTTAGAACGGAGCCTGGTTCCTAAGAGTATCAAACACGAGGGCCGACTTTTGCACAGACGTGTGGAATATGTAAGTAAATATTTCAGCTTTCAACATACCACTCCAAAAATTCCCACTCCAGAGCCGATGGCTGTGAGGGTAGGGATGATATCAAATTTCCGCGCCTGTGAAGAGCAGAGTCATACCAGCTCCTTTGGTTTATTCTTCCAGTGACAAAAGCATAGTTAAGATAAACGTGTTACTCACAAGTGACTGGACGATGATGTCAAACCTGATGCCAAACACTTTCAGAAGTGTTCTTTTCTGAATTTTGTCCTCCATATAATGCCTCGCAAACCTGCAGACAGACACAAGCACAATATGTTAGCAGGCATATGAAATATGTTTCAAAAGCATTTGACAAACACGTCATCATCTGTGTATTTACTGAGCGAGCTGTGAAGAAACAACAAGAAAAGGCAGTTGAGACAAGTCAACACTGTTTCACTGAGCAAACATCAGAAACTTCAGCCAGTCGACTTGGCAGGTTCAGCAGAGCTGAAGCAGCATTAGGAGCAAATAGCGAGTGAAAATGAACAATAACAGTGACAGAACAACATTTCTCCATCAGCCAGCAGGTGAACAATGAATAACAGAGCAGGAGCATGCATGTGTCTGTGGTGCGCGAGGAAGCAGAAATGAACTGCAGTAGTTTCAAACACTGAGCCAACATGTGCGATGTTGTCAACAGTTTCAAAGGTTAGATGAGAAGAGCGAGTCCACGTTATCACGAAGTTAGCGAGAGCTCAGCAAATGGAAGTGTAAAGCTCATTAATTAATATATAATATTATTAACATGAGACCTTAAAAGTGCTGCAAGCTAAAATTATAATATATGCGCTTCAGAGGTTTTCTGGACACAAACTAACAGAAAAAGGAACAAATCTCTCGCTGAGCTGTGTTTTTCACACACCTGAAATTGTAGCCCACTGAAGAGCCTTCTTTGCTTCCATAGAGTCCATGAAAGGTGTACTCTGGTTTACAGTGTTTTACATGCACGTCAAAGTTACACGTCCAGTCGACCACGATCCCGATGGCTCCTCCCTGTCAGGACACAAACGCCGTCTTCATCACAGCAGGAGAAGAAGAGAAGCAAAACACGGAAACATGACAGGAATTTCAGAAAGAAGCAGAAACTCAAACTCACCACTTTAGCTACTGTTTGAAAGTTTAAGCCAGAAAGTTTAATAATGTCTCCCAGTTTGAATATAGGGCACAGGGGAGCGCTGAGTGGATGATACAGGCAACTGCTGATGTAGTTGGAGTCGACGTCCTCCACTAGGTTGCTCCTGAAAACGGAAAAACAGTGAAATATTTGACACTTTCTGTACTTTTACCAAAATGAGTGATTAGACTTGTGGTTTGATTTCGAAGCTGAAGATATAAGAGTTCAAAGAAGAACAGAGTTTACTGTGTAGCTCTGTTTGGTTCAAAGCTGTGTTTCATTTGGCCAAAGGTTACAGAAGAAACTGAAACGTATAAAATCATTGTGATTGTTTTTATGACATCATAGAAACGTGAACAAATATCTCAGTAAAAACTGAAGAGTATAAAAAACAAATTTGTGCCACTGACTGAAGATTTCTGGCCACAACTGTTTTATAAAGTTACAATAGTCATGCCAGAGCAGGACACACTCATCACACTCATCACATCTTCTGAGGTAAACGTGTCTCCGTCACCTCGAGACGCCGAATGCGGGGAACGTGACGGAGTTTTTGATGAACAGAGTGTAGTTCTCTGCAGACAACAACAGCGGAGGACTGAAACGGAAACAAGATCAGATTTCAAATGAGCATGTTTGCTTCCACAGATGATTGTGTAATCGCACAATCGTGAATAATTCAGTTTGTCTGCGTACTCTGGTACGTCG